ACCACGTTTCTGATATTACTATAATTTTGAAAAAGTCGTCGAATTGTTTTAAGAAGATTTCTAGATTTAATAATTTATGAAACAAACTTCGAGCATTCAGATGAATGATTGGTAGGTGATTGTTTTTCATTTTATTCTTCAATTTTATTATGTTAGATAATTCTTTTACAGTGTAATATTTTGATTCTTCGAGATTCTCTTCTATGAAGTTTTTATTCATTGCTATTTTTAGTTGAAACAACATTTGCCGACAGGTCATTGACAACATTTGCCGACGGATCATTGAAACACCATTCGCGGACGATGATTTAGTCTGGCCAGTTTTCTGCATTCATGAACTCAGCTGAGTCTGTTTCATAAATACAAACTCTGAATGCAGCGCTTGTCTGTTGAACATCGATTTTGTCATAGTTCGTGTTTTGTGTGTTGATCGATGTTGTAGCTTGCTTTGAGCGGCGATTAAAAGTTGAGTTTATGATTGCTGAGCAACCAAGCACCTCAATTTTCAATCCATTTATGTGTTCGCTTAACTCTTTTGCAGTGCATTGTTGGTCCAATCGACCAACGTAAAAAACTTTTCTTTTTGGCGAAGGTTTCATCGCTTTCAAATTTGTTTGTTTATCAGTTTGGGTGCCTATAACTGTTTTCATATTTGCTATGTTAGTGTTGTGTGTTTTTTTCTTTGTTTTCAACATGTTGATGTTCGCCACGTGTTGAACATTTGCCACGTGTTGAACATTCGCCACGTGTTGAACATTCGCCACGTGTTGAACATTCGCCACGTGTTGAACATTTGAGCTCTTTTTAATTTTACGTTTTACAATCTCTGACCAGTCAGATTGCTTGCTCGATTCGGTCTTGCAATCGGATTGCTGCTTTCTTTCTACTTTTGGGCTATTGTTAATAGCCGCATCATTTACTATTTCTCGGAAGATGTTTCTTTCTTCAATAAATAGTTCTTCTAATTTTTTTAACTTTTCGTCAAGAATTGACTCAAATTTAGCTTTTTTTGAGCTTGGAATTTTAAAAAGGTTGAGAGCAGCATACTGAGGCAATTTGCTTTCAATTTTGTTGCTCAGAATTGTTTTTATTGTTAGTATTAAATCACTAACCTTGTCCTTTTTAGAGTTTCCAGAACTGTTTGGCTTTATTTTATCATCTTTTTCTAGATTTAATGCATCTAGATCGCTGGTAAGTATTTTTTTTGCTATTCTAATATCTTCACAATTGTAGAAATCCATTATTTCGTAAATGAATTCCGCATCGTCAATTTTGTCAGAATTATTAAATAAATAACACAATAACTCGTTAATGCAAACCGCTCGCGACATCGTACCGGAATGGATGTATGTATGTATGTATGTATGTATGTATGTATGTTAAAACCAAAACATGAACCGTCAAACATCAAGTAACAAATGGATTAACACTTTGATTTGTCGTTAATTGCACATGTCGGCATTCAGTTGGATATTTTCAAGCACACAGACACACAGGAACCGCTGCAACAAGCACGAAATGTGGTTAGTTGCGAAAAACAGTTCCCTGCTGTCGCCTGATCTGACGCTGATCATTTTACATATTGCCTTAAGAAATTTAAGGGTATTGGGGTCCATCGGGCCGAGGACCTCGATACATATTGGCAAGAATTCCATCGAGGGGAGGGCGTTCCCATATTTTTTCATTTTCTCGTCCGCTGCCCTGACCGCGGCCAAACCGCATTCTTTACTTGTCAGGTTTACATATCGTTCGGCAAGAGTGCCAGAGACCGTAACATCCCACGCCAAACATCTGCCGGCTCTCCAAGGTATTAGTGTGCATCCGTCCGGGCGCCTACCATAATGCGCAGAAATGCCGGATGGTTCCTTGAGAACCAGGATTGAAGCCTTGGAGAAGAGCCGACAAATGTATTCGTTTAGCGCTGAGTGACGTAGTTGACGGCTCCCACCCAGGCGACAAACCAAACCGTGTATGTATGTATGTATGTATGTATGTATGTATGTATGTATGTATGTATGTATGTATGTATGTATGTATGCATGCATGCATGCATGTATGTATGTATGTATGTATGTATTTACTTATACAAACATGAGACATTTGCGTATACAAACTTGAGAATCTGCCTGTAAACTGTAGAACACGTCCATAGTGGAAAGAATTAATTTTATTGCAAGAATTTTGGCGCTCAAGTCAAAAAGTGTGCTTGTGTGAATGATCAAAGGTTTGTTATAAACAAACACTATTCAGACTAATCTTTAAAATCACACCTACCTACCTACCTACCTACCTACCTACCTACCTACCTACCTACCTACCTACCTACCTACCTACCTACCTACCTACCTACCTACCTACCTACCTACCTACCTACCTACCTACCTACCTACCTACCTACCTACCTACCTACCTACCTACCTACCTACCTACCTACCTACCTACCTACCTACCTACCTACCTACCTACCTACCTACCTACCTACATACCTACCTACCTACATACATACATACACACAACATTTAAAAACACACGTTCAGACAAAACTTGGTGGTTGCTTGAAGATAATTATAATGGACCGTAAACGGACATTTAATGGTTGTTGTGTGTGTGTTTTGGTGTGTGTGTTTGTGTGTGTGTTTGGGTGTGTGTTTGGGAGTGTGTTTATGTGGGTTTGCTTTTGGTGTGCGTGTGTGTTCATGTGCTTTTTTGCAACTGGAAGAAACGTTGAATAAAAAAATACTTTAATAGTTTCCTCGAAATGTATTCAAAAAAGCTTGCTTGGGCTTGAAAATTCAGACATCAGTGCAAGGAGACAAAATGTGGCAGCACTAATCAAATCAACGTATGTATGTATGTATGTATGTATGTATGTATGTATGTATGTATGTATGTATGTATGTATGTATGTATGTATGTATGTATGTATGTATGTATGTATGTATGTATGTATGTATGTATGTATGTATGTATGTATGTATGTATGTATGTATGTATGTATGTATGTATGTATGTATGTATGTATGTATGTATGTATGTATGTTAAAACCAAATCAGCGATGAGTGACACTAAACAGTCAAACATCTGAAAAAATCGGTTAACAATTGATATCTCGTTATTCGCTCACGTCGGCGTTTAATTGAACATTTTCGGTAACACAGACGTGCAAAAACCTTTGCAGCAAACAAGATATATGATTCATGGCGAAAAATAGCTCTCTGCTGTCGCCAGACCTGCCACTTATCATTTTGCAAATCTTTTTAAAAAATATTGAAGTGTTGTTGTCCATAGGGCCAAGAACCTCGATGCAAACAGGTAAAAAATCCATCGAGGGCAGGGCACCTTCATATTTTTTAAACTGTATGTATGTATGTATGTATGTTTGTATTTTTGTATGTTTGTATGTATGTACGTACATATGTATGTATATATGAATAATGTGTATTTTAAATGTTTAGGTCCATCAGTGAGCATTTGACTTCTATTGATGGATACGTGTTTTTATATAGATTTACTAAAAAATGCATTTGACTTAAAATAAACTATAAAAGTCTATTGTTGAAGCATTTGAATGAGATTAAAACGTTTCAAACATTCTTCCATAACAGTAGAAACTCATTAACATCAACTTAGATGAGCGATTTTCGGAACAATAAGATAACATCAGTTATGGCAAGCAGTCTTAATGGAACTGCATTCAACATGTATCACGTTTAACTACTCTTTATTATTTGAACATACGCAGGCGAAAGAATGTTTCGCTAATTAATGCGATGTAAATGCAATAATTTTAAGAATGAATATTCTATAATTATATTTACTCTATAATTATTATTTAGTTGTAATGATTCTATAATTATTATATAGTTATAATTATTCTATAATTATAACTATTCTATAATTATTCTTGTTAAAATTGTTCTATAATTGTAACTATTCTATAATTATTCTATAGTTATAGTGATTCTATAATTATAATTATTCTATAAGTATTCTAGCTATAATTATTTTATAATTGTAACTATTCTATAATTGTTCTATAGTTATAATTGTTCTATAATTGTAACTATTCTATAATTATTTTCTAGTTATAATTATTCTATAATTATAACTATTCTATAATTATTTTATAGTTATAATTATTCTATAATTTCCAGATTTGTTTGTCCGTTCAATTCGGACGATGAATGGTAAGTAGTTCTGAGGGCTTACCGATATTTTATTTTAATAGCGTTAAAATCTTGAACGAATTTCAAATAAGTAGGCAGTTCATTTTATCAATCGATTCTTTTCATAAAATTATGTTGAATATTACTGTTGATGTTCAAAAGTTATTAAATTTAAGGGAGGCAAATCTGCTTCTACTCTATACTCAAAAATAATGTGTTAGTACATATTTGTTATAATAGATATTGTTGTCAAATATTATTTTTAATAATTTTTTTTTCAATTATTATTATAAATAAGAAATAAATTTTTAATTGGAGATAATACTTTTCTAAATTCGTAATGCACAAAGAAATGCAACAGCAAAATTGAAATGAACAGTTTATTTACAGTGAAGCGTCTTAAAAAACGAAGTATGAGAAGTTGTAAATTAAAAATACTTGTAATTAATGAAAATGTAAAACAATTTAATAATAATATGATAGGGTGAAAGTGAAGTTACAGTTAGAGGATTTGAATAAAGAAGCGATACTAACGAGTGTAAGTAGGTTACAAACTTTGTCACTGGTGTCAATGTTTACGTAACTTGTCCAAAGCAGGCGCTTCGTCATCGAGTCAAAGAAGCTTTGTGGCTGTTTTTTGTTCAATCATATTCACCTTTATAACCAATTTAATTCAATTTATATCAAAATTATTTTATTCAGAAAGCAAGTTCATATTGATGCTGATGGGAAAGAACCGCAAGCTACCAAATTACCAAATATTTTATTTGCATCCCATCCATGGCAGTTGATTCTAAAATAACATACTGCCATAAAAGCTGTTGACAATTATTAGAATTTATTTTTTGAACACATAGCCACCGTTATAATAATGATTTGATGAAATAAAAATATCCAATGCAGTAGTCCAATTCTCATCACACACACACACACACACACACACACACACACACACACACACACACACACACACACACACACACACACACACACATCATTTCACCAATCAAATTACGTTGAACTAAACGTGGCTAACACGGAGAAGTTTCAGTTAGGTCTTACGGGAATTCAAGGCTCCGAATTAAGATTTAACATATAAACATATACTCTTTCCTAATGCGTTAAATTTTTGAAAATCAGCATGGCGTTTACTGTGATTTATTTGAAATTTTAAAAAATAATTACAGTTTTACTTTATATTTGACCAATTTAACTTTCATTTCTATTTATGTATTTACAATGTGTTACAGAGAGTTAATAAACATAGATGACAAATTACTCAATTAAAAATTAAAATCTATCACCTGCCAGAAGCCGGTTTTCCGCTGCTGGCTGACACGGATTTGGTCTTAAGTTCGTTGGTGATTTAGTCGTGAAACTTGACCAAGATGATGTGGCTGGAATCAAGTCTCAGTGCCCATCCCCTTAGCTGGATAGATGATGAGAAAACTTTAAAAAACAACTTGCTGGATGAAATTCGGACTTGAGTTTAACAAAATTGTCAACTTTATAACAAATTAATAAAGCTTCGAAGTATTCCTATAAAATGTCAGTAAAACTCAGTTTTTACACAAGATAACAACGTTTTAAATAGAAAATCGACCAATAATAATTGGCGTGATAAACCAAGAAATAGGTCCCCAGTCTAAGTTTGGCTACACTGAAGAGAATTTTGTCAGTTTCTCGGCCCCTGGCAAACTTTGAAAATTTCAAAATCTCAAAATCCCTCCACATTAACATGGCCCCTGTTTCACGCATATGCTGAAATAAATTTAATTTCTAAGTAGAAAACAAAATTTTTTTCAACATTAAAATATAAAAATCTAAGACTTTGAAGGTTCGCTGATTCCAACCTAATTGTACATTGATTAGATTGAATATTCTATAATAACGCTGAAAGGTATATTAATTAATTTAAAATAACTGAGCAAAAATTAATTACAACTTTTTTTATTATTATTAGAATTAGTGATCTAGAACAGTTAAGCAATTGAAAGGAACTGATTTATTTTGTTTTCCAATCAATATTCTCATTCGTTGCAAGGCACCTACGTAGCATCATACAATGCAAGTTGCGTGCTCGCCAACAATCGACCAACATTCACTCGGTACATTTTTCTTCCATCCCTCATAAATAATCCTCGAAATGTCGCAAAAAATTTAAAAATAATGAATAATGCAGTTTCAAAACATTCAAAGTTGAGTGCGTGTGTGCGTGTGTGCGTGCGTGTGTGTGTGTTCTATTTAAAAGCCTCTAGACACCACAGGAACACTTCACTTCTTGTGGAGAACAACAAAGGATTCAACAGCAAAATAACCACCATCATATTGGCCATCAAATTCCACGTCATGTTAGCGCACATATCCCATCAGCAGAGTTCTTACATTTTCGGTATACTCGTACACACATCATACATATTAAATATTATCTCATGTAAGGCGATATCTCACGAGAAGAAGTTAAATGGTTACGTATTAGAAGTGGACTCACACAACAACGACCTTTGTGTTAGCCGCCCTGCAGCCAATGATGAGTTCCAAAATGTTGTGAGTTTGCTGAAGTGTGCTTCTATGTGCTCCAGACGGCTGCCCTACTCGTGCGTGAGGTTGGCGACTTCTATCTGTATGTAACTGTCTTTTCATCTTCATTATGTATCACATTACACATTAATGTGTGATTATCTATTAATTATCATCGTTAATTTTTACATTATGTATCACATTAATGTGTAATTATTTATTAATTATCATCATAAAGTGTCACATTAAGTATCACATTACACATTAATGTATAATTATCTATTAATTATTATCATTAATTATCTCCATTAAGTATCACATTGTTATGACATTACAGTCTTTATTATCCCACTTGCAATATTATTTAAATAAATACATGTGAAATGATTTCGTTAATAGCAATATATTAGTAGCAGAATTTTGAGATGTTATACAGACACTTAAGTACTTTTCTTGTGTTGATAACTTTTTACGCAAATCAATTTCTGTCTAATTTTATGTACATACTAGTAAGATTGAAAAATATTTGAACAATGTTTCCAAAATCTATTTTCGCCGAGTTAAAATTAATAAAAGTTTATCGATAATTGTTGAATGTGTTCTCATTGTTGGGGCCAAATTGCCTCCTAACTTAACGCATTAATTTGAACTATGATATAATATAATAACAATCCCAACTATAATAATAAACTGAATTATATTTTTTTAGTCTTTATTATTGCATACGCAGAACCACTTGCAATGTTACAGATATATTACCTGTATGCCTTTCTTATTACGTTTTTATGTTAGCATCTCCATATTTGTAATACTGACTGTAAGACATATCGAAGCTCCAGTTGTTTCAGCATTTTGATGGCACTGCAGATTCAACTACAAGAAGTCTGAGAGCCTGTGCGAACTCTACAACCACCAGAGAGACGACTACACATTGGTTGCGTCATCATCACGTGACCAGTGCGTCTCCTACCTTAATACAGGTCTGTAAATTGTCTATTTATTTTCTTAGATGTTATGATATTTTGTCAGAGGTATGAAATGAAGTGGAGCTGAATTTGAATTTTTTCATTTGTTATCTTACCGCTTGGGTCACCCATTGCTTCATCCATTCGTACATTCGAAGTCGTTCGTTATTACGCCTATCCATCTATTCATTAGTTCATTCATCCATTCATTCATTCATTCATTCGTTCATTCGTTCATTCGTTCATTCATTCGTTCGTTCATTCATTCATTCGTCCGTCCGTCCATCCATCCATCCATCCATCCATCCATCCATTCATTCATTCATTCATTCATTCATTCATTCATTCATTCATTCATTCATTCATTCATTCATTCATTCATTCATTCATTCATTCATTCATTCATTCATTCATTCATTCATTCATTCATTCATTCATTCATTCATTCATTCATTCATTCATTCATTCATTCATTCATTCATTCATTCATTCATTCATTCATTCACTGACTCATTCATTCATTCACTGACTCACTCATTCCTTCCAAGCATGCCTTCCTCCATTCAGTCTAACGACGCCCAACAGCTTCTGCTACCACCTGCTCGTCGGAGCATGGAACTTCCAAGAAGCTGGTTGGCTGGCTTCTTTGAATTATAATTAAAAGTGAATTATAATTATTATTATCTATCGTATAATTTTTTTTGGTGAACAATTATTAGGATTTTTAACAGCAGTATCAACATTTAGCACTACAACAACAGCTACCACTACTACTGCTACTACTACTACTACTACAACTACCACCACTACTACTAGTACTACTACTAATAATAATAATAAAAATAATACAACAACAACTACTACTACTATTATTAATAGTAATTCTACTACTACTATTACTACCTACTACTACTACTACTACCTACTACTACTACTACTACTACTACTACTACAACTACTACTACTACTAGCGGTGGTAGAAAAATTTTAAACCCCTCCAAAATATAATCTCAATTGAATTGACAATTTTCATCGGTGGGTGCATAAATTGTATTCAGCAATTTTTTCCGTTAAAATTTTTTTTTTAATTTTTACAAAAACTTTTGTAATTCCGAACTGGAACATATTTTCTAGCTGGAATTCAAGCACGCCATCAACTGTCATAACTATTATTACTATAATTAATTTTAATATTATTTTATTATTATTTTTTTAATTTGTTTCATTTGTATAGGTGCAGCCTGTAGAGATTTGAATGCAGCTAGTCACGCAGTTGCTGTTGATGACTTTGTAGAGAATAATGCATTAAAAAATTACATGCTGTCTGTAACAAGTTAGTTCTCTGTCTGTCTGTGTCTGTCTGTCTGTGTCTGTCTGTCTGTCTGTGTCTTTCTATCTGCCTGTATTTCTGTCGGTCTGTTTGTCTTTCAGTTTGTCTAACTGTTTGTATGTCCGTTGATTATACCTGATTATATCGGCACTGCCTTCACTGCCAAATCCTGCTGTTAGTGAAGAAATGATTTGAGGATTTTGTAATTTCTTACATGCGGGGAAAATATTTGATCTTATTACCAACGAATGGATTGGTAAGCAAAAAATATTTACAAATTTTTAACGAAATTATAAAACCAACCCGTGTTAACTTATTTGTCGTCGGCTAAATCTGCCTTTGGGTTGGTAGGACGGATCAATTTATTATTTGGCGGGGATACTTGTAATTTATTTCAATGTTAAGTTGTATATTATGCTTCGGTGGACGTGGAAACATGAGAATATTCAAAAATGATGAAAAAAATTTTAATCATCATCCTCACATTTATCATTATCGTCGTCATAATAATCCTTCCAGCAACTTCTTGCAGACACCCAGTCGTGACTTCCTCCATCTACATCTGGACTGCAGGTCTGCGTGCAAACAACTTGTTTGACACCATCATGTACATCACCACCATCCTCACCCATCTTCAATTTTGATGTCATTGTTTTAAATTATCATCACCAACACGAACAAAATTGTCACCATCGTCTTCTTCAATCTTTATTCAATTCTTCCTCGTCATCATTGGGTGTTACCATCACCACTTTTATCATCTCCATCTCCACCACCATCATCATCATCATTTCCTCTTTACCACAAAATTAGGCAGACGGCATGCAAACAGCAGTAGCAGCTCAACAACAACCACCACATTCGCCTGGCAGCTGTCCGCCACAAACTTCCAAACATTTGGACCGGAGCAAAGCTGGATGGGCGGGGAGCCAAACTTCGATGGGTCATGCGTGCTTCTCGTCTTCAGCCTCCTGTGGAATGACGATGACTGCTCCAAGCAGTTGTGTGTCGTCTGCGAAATTGATGTTCTCTACTAAAAATTTTTTGTTATTATTCTTTTAAAAATCAGAATCTGACAGACGCAGAAACTGTTACAACATGCAAGGCGATGATATAATATAAATACGAAAAATTAATAACGGAGAAAGAATGTTTAAGCATAAAAGCAGACAATTTTGTTACTGATAGATTTTTTAAAATTTATTTGTCAAGTTCAAAACAGAAAAAAAACCCGATCAAACTGAAAAAGACCCGGAGACTAAAACAAAATATTATCTTGTAGTCTGCTGCCATTTTCAAAGTGAAAATGATTGGCACTTATAGAGTAGAAATCACCGAAAGTTGTATTGGTCTACTCCACTCAACTTTTTGTGAATGTTCACGGGTTATTTAATTAGGTTTGTAAAATTAATGTGTTAATTTCATACACAGATGATGTTGATAATGTTATTGATAATGATGATGAAGAAGAAGAAGAAGATGATGATGATGAAGATGATTATGATGGTGATGATGAAGTTGATGTGAAAATTTGTATAGTACCCCTCGTCCTCCATCATCTTTATAAAAATCACCATCTTTCAATTTAACCATAGAAATATAATTGAATCATCAAGTTCATCATCATTGTATGCATTTACTATATTTCAATTCCACATGTAACTACAAATGAACTTTTACATTGGCAAGGAAGCTCCGAACGAACTCGAACGATATCATCTTTCTCCGATATCATCATTATCATTCTTCCACCATCTTCGTCGTCGTCATCATTTTTATTTTTTTCAAATGACAAAATTAGCATTAGCATCATTATCAACATGACATAACACGCGCGCTGTTAATTATTTTATTACAAGCAACCTCCCTTTGATATTTACTGACTGTTGAGTTGTTGTGACGATTTTACGATCGGTTGGCAGGCGAACATTGGAGGACCGTTTGAAGGAGGCGAGAATGATTTTAATTAGTTTTTTAATTAGTTTTTAAAATAGATAATTTTTTTCACTACATTCAAAATTCAAATTAATTTCAATTCAAAATCATTTACATTATGCCATGGAATTGTCAGGTAGGGTGAAAATGAAACTATCAGCACATTTACATTGTCAAGGGTCTGTTCACTTGAATTTGACACAAATTAATTTACAATCTCTTTAGTTTTTGACAAAGCTTCAAAGGACTTGATGTCATTAAAACTGTAACATGATCGTATCAATAAACATTTGATGGTATCATTTTGTAGGCGTTAATTGGTTTCGTTTGTTCGTTTTTACTGCTTCTCGAAGCTAGTGTAAAATTTCTAAAAACCAAAATTTTTTAATTAGCCTCGATTTCTACGGCATAATTTTTGAACATTTTAAGGAATTTTAAATTATAAAAACAACTCTACCCTACTCTCATGATGTTGATTTTAATCGTAGATCGAAGGTTGATTGAAGTTATTATCATTTTTTTTACATTCTAAAAGTTTATCCTACATAACGTTAAATAGAATGTAACATAACATGTAACATATAATGAAACGGATAATTTATAAATTTGACAACTTTAATGGAATGAAATTCATTTTAACTAATGCAATAAAACTCCTCGCTTGTTCAACAAATTTGTAATTAGCACCTACTAATCATTTTATTGTAGCATACCACCAGGCGAGTTTATTGACTGTTAAGTTGTTCGGACTTTACGACTAGAACGACACGCGTTTATGATGTGACGACTAATTATTCGGCGTTAACCAGTAGTCGCGGTTTGATTATTTTATTGCTATTAATTGAGTTGGCGTGTGTATCTGTTAAGTGGCTTGGTTCTCTAGGAATGGTATATATAGGAAGATAAGTGTAATCGTGTTTAACAGTTGACAACTTGACGATTCTTATCTGGTTGAAATCTACAGGGAAAAAAATTGCAAAAACAGCGAAGTTAAATAGCATTCCTGGCATACTTTAAATTTTCAAAAATTGTTCAGACTATTTGCTAAAATAAATCCAACATGGTTCCAAAAATGATTGAGCTTTTACCACTGGAAAACGTTGACCAAAAGGTAAGATAATGAAGAAATATTTATTTATTTAATCTATATTATTCAGTTGTTTATTCAGAATAATTTATATTATTCAAAATTGATGATGTTTCTAGTTTAGTTTAATAATATTATTAATTTAATTAAATTTGAAACAATTTCAGATTGAGATGAGCATAGAAATTGGACACAAGGCAGCAGTGAGGAGCCTACCAACGAAGGAAGGTCATACGCACGACTGGATTGTGTACGTGAGGACTGACCAGAATCAATTCGTTGAGAAAGTTGAATTCAACCTACATCCATCTTTCAAGAAACCAAAAAGAGGTTTGTAAACATTAATTTTGATTATATATTTTTTTCAAAAGTTTCACCTAAAAGTTAGCAAATGTTACTTTTTCTTAGACTAATGAACAATTTCTTTTCCAACAGTTGTAGCATCTGCGCCATTCCAGCTACTTGAAAATGGTTACGGAGAATTTAATATGAAAATTGTGGTTCACTTCAAAGTTAACAACCACCGAGAGAAAGTTCCTTACGAGTACTACCTGTTCCTGAGCAGTGAGCCGACAATTTCATACAGCGTGCACAAGCAACATACAATAGATCTAACCAATCCGGCACGAACTAAAAAACCCGGAAGACCAAAGAAGAACAACAGTTTAAAAGAAACAAATACATCGTCGGAATCGTTGTCAAACAGCTCCGTAACCAAAAATTCACTGATAGTTCCTCCAAGAAAACCAGGAAGGCCGAGAAAAAACGGAACGATCCCTGTTAAAACAATGAAATCACCTGATGTTGATTTACCATCACCTTTTTCGTCATCTTCAACATCATCTTTGCAATCATCGCCATCATTAACATCGTCTGATGATGATATATTACCAATGCCACCATCAACAGCAAAACTATCATACACACCATCGTCTTCATCTTCACCGACATCAAAAATGTTCCAACACGACACTCGGCAGCTCAAAACCAAACACACAGTTTCAACACTGCCAGCTGGTAAACTGCAAGAGTTTGCTGACTGGTCCCTCGCACAGACAGCCACAACTCTACATTCCGCCAATCAATATTATATTAACGAGAGAATCAATGATTTGGTTGAACTTCAGAAAACCTTGATGTCACTTAAGGACAAGAAAGTTTTGAAAAGAATTGTGAAGATAATTAAAGTAGCAGGATATCTGCAGATGACAGATTCCACGTTTGATTTTGACCTCATGGAGATGGATGACGTCACGATCAATTGCATCAAGGAGACTTTAACGAATCAATAATTTTAATTAATTAATTTTAAATTAATTTTATAATTTTATGAAATTGTACATATATTTTTAATATTTATTTGTATATATTATTAATTCTAAATTTTCAATTGTATATATTTATAATTGTAGATAATATATTTCACAATTTTACGAAATTGTACATACAGTTGGACCTCCTTATAACGAACTTCTATACGACGAAAATCTCTTTACAACGAATTTGAAGTTATTTTACATATAAAATTTTTTCTAATGAACAAAAATAATTTCTCTATGACGATCCAAATCTCGGTTAAAATTTGTGGAATCGGAATCATAGCTGCACGGAACAAAGAATAAATTTCACTTTTAAAATTTCATTTGTAACAATTATACCATGTTACCTTTTGTCATTAAAATAAATGATTAGGAGGCTGTTTTTCATAAATATATAGCATATATAGGCAATTTAGAATTTTTCCGAAACAAATTCTATATAACGAAAATTCTATAAAACGAATTTTTTTCCTGAAATCATCAAATTCGTTATACGGAGGCCTGACTGTATTTCAATAATTACGTGTGTGTATTATTATATTTTGATGACTTTGAATTCGGTTGATTCAAGATTTTATATAACAAAAGCGCCGAGGTTTCCATTACCAAGTTGTACATTTTCATGCTCAGAAGCTTGAGTACTACACGATTCTAATAACAAACTACTAGCTTAATTCACTATATCAGCGCCACATTCCAAAATTTGGAAGTGAATGCGTGTTAGTAACACTTAATGATCACTATTCGGTCGATTGAACATACTATATATCTAAAAAGTCGGGACTATCAATGCTAAATTAAAAATTTTCATGTCCAGGAAACTAAGAAGTACTTTATGAATCTAGTAACATACAGTGGCTTTATTCACTACATTAGGCCACATTCCAAAAATAATTGAATTATAGGGAGTAATTCCTAACGGTCACTATTCCTGTCTAAAAACTGAGTTTTTCTGAATTTTAATCCCAACACTGTTTACAAAGGGAGAGCCGTGGCCTTGCTCACCAGATCTACCACTGCGTATGGATGGATTATGCGTGCATGTGGGAATGAATATGGAATGATTATAACTTATCTTTACGAAAATAAGAAGAAAGAAAAATTTCTGCAATAATATTATGCTTATTTCTATTATTTTTACATTAGGACAGCGTAATGGTGAAAAAGAAAATGAAATGATTAGCACTCATTTTTTAATACCTATATATTATGTATTTATTCGTTTTTTAAATCATTATTTTATTTCCCATGCTTATTATGCTTAAACAATCTTACTCCGTTATTAATATTTCGTTATTATACCGTTTTCATTTTATATCATAGCCTTGCATGCTGTAACAAAGTAGTAACAGTTTCTGCACATGTTAGATACTGATATTTTAAAGAATAACAAAAAAAGGTGATAGCTGAACAGAGATTTCAATAAATCTGAAGTGACTGTTATCTGGCTAACATCCTCACACTTGAACATGGGTCGGTCTGAGAGAAGATTGAATTATCATGTTATCACATTACTAAATAAAATGATAATTTTGGTAAAATCTCAAATGTTACTATGCAGTGATGTTGTTATAAGTTATCGGTATTCGGTATCAACACTAACCGGTTTATAAAGTTGAAACATTTAATAAAGATTCACTCCAATATTTTTTCCTTAATAATTTGATATCTGTGGGTGAGGTTTGGCTTCATTTGTGTTCATTGGTTTCATACTTTCAACGTAATCTAGTTCAGTGCAACAATCTTGGTTACTTTGTTGAATTTTAATTTAATTCTACTTAAATTAAGCGCAAACACTGTTGCATAGCGTAGGAATTGAACTACAGGCCTTAAACTCAATAATGACATTCATAGACTAGAGATTAGAAGCGTAGCAAAAGAGGAGCTTTGAAGCTGAAGACTTACCCCACAATGGAAAATTTAAATAGGTTTATCGTAGAATGAAACAAAGCCCCTCCTCCAATATAAAAACTTTGTGAATTTTGGTACAAAAATGCCGATTTTATTAAGAAAATTTTCAAAGAATTATGAAATAAGTGAAAATGAAAGTAGAACGCTAACTATTTTATAAAATCAAAGCCCCCGCCGAAGACAAAACTCTCTGGCTTTGTAACTGATAGAGATAGAATATTTTCAAGTTCTATCTTTCCTCATTTTTATTAGTATTTTGAATGTATTTTTCGTTTGCAATTAACTTGAGTGGTTGTTTTAGCAAATTTTCATTGTTATAGAAATGCGGGACTTAGTTTGTGTAATTCCGTTGAATCCGATATAGGAAGTGGAATAAGACATTTGATCTGAACGTTGTTCTGGAAGCAATGGGATAAACACGATGGAGCAATTCCACTTTAAAATTCCATGCTTGATTTTATGTAATGATTTATAAAAGAGATGAAAAAAGTCAAAAATTGTCTGGTAAATTTGAATTTAAATTAAAAAAAATAAAACGCCACAAAAATATTGAATAAACAATTTAACTAACATAACAACTATCTAGAGAAAAAAATACCAAAAAAATGAATAACATGAAAAAATTTCTTGGATCGACAATTAAGAAATTATCGAACGGAAGCGGATCCGTGACGAGGCAATAACAATATTCGTTCGAAATGATAATCGATAAAAACTCGAAAATTTGTATCGGTTTGTCGGGCCATTTCGATTGTGTAGTGGGTTAGGCTAGAAACCGGCGTATGACTTGCCCACCACTTGTGATTATCAGATTGCCTTGTTCTGTCGTAATGTTGTGTGGTGATTAATTAATTAATTAATTATAGCTGAACTTTAGCGATAAGATTAATATATGTTATCAACGATTTGAGTTTATAAAATAACGTGATATATTTTATTCGTTCACAGTTCATTTCTCAGAATGTCTTCGAAAGAAAGCAGCGTCGTTGGTTCAGCGAAGGATTTTTTGAAATTTATTAATAAATCGCCGTCACCATTTCATGCCGTCGAAGAATCTAAAAAAAGATTGTTAGAGGCCGGTTTCAAAGAATTGAACGAGGCGGAAAAATGGAGCGTAAAGCCAGGTGATAAATTTTTTTTGACTAGGAATCATTCAACATTGGTTGCTTTTGCTGTTGGTGGAAAGTTTCAACCTGGAAATGGATTTTCAATTATTGGTACCCACACTGACAGTCCATGCCTCAAAATTAAACCCACCTCAAAAATTGTGAAAAATGGTTACTTGCAGGTTGGTGTGCAGTTGTATGGGGGTGGAATTTGGCATACATGGTTTGATAGAGATTTAAAATTAGCTGGTAGAGTACTCATTCGAAATTCAAAATCACAAATAGAGCACAAATTGGTTGATATAGATAAACCATTATTGCGAGTATCTACAGTAGCCATTCATCTTAGTAGAGATCAAAATGAAAAATTCGAATTCAATAAAGAAACTACACTTGTTCCTATCCTTGCTATGGCAACAAACAGTTCTTCAGAGAAAAATGATGGAAGAGATTCACCATCCAAGCAAACTGTTGACAAGCACCATAATGCTTTGCTAAATGCAGTGGCAAATAAACTGGGATGCAGTGCTAAAGATATTATTGATCTTGAATTGTGCCTGGCTGATTATGTTCCTGGAACCATTGGAGGTCTGAATGATGATTTTATATTTTGTGGACGACTGGATAATCTGCACAGTACTTATTGTGCACTGCAAGGTTTGTTGGATAGTTTGAAGGCTTCAGATAGTCTTGAAAAGGAGCCTAACATTAGAATGGTCAGCATGTTTGACAATGAGGAGGTCGGATCGGAATCAGCACAAGGAGCGGCCTCTGCACTGCAAGAACATATTTTGAGAAGGCTGAGTTATGATGATTCAAATGCCAGTGCTTTTGAACAGTGCATATGCCAAAGTCTTCTGGTCAGTGCTGATATGGCTCATGCTGTTCATCCTAATTTTTCAGAAAAACATGAAGAGCACCACAGGCCATTCCTCAATAAGGGAGTTGTATTAAAGTTTAATGCCAATCAGAAATATGCTTCAACAGCTATCACTTCTTCGATCATGAGAGAGATAGCTCACGAGGCCAGCATTCCCATCCAAGATTTTGTGATGCGCAATGATATGGCTTGTGGTTCAACTATAGGACCCATCTTATCTACTAGGCTGGGAATTCCAACCTTGGATCTGGGTTCACCTCAGTTGAGCATGCATTCAATCAGGGAAATGTGCAGCACATCCAGTGTTCATTTAGCCATTTCATTGTTCAAGGCATATTTTGAAAATTATTCGAAAATGTATGCGAGGATTATCAAGAATTGAAGCTTGCTGAAGTATCATGTCATTTTGTTGTTGTAACAATTGTAACATTTTTTTGATTAATATTACTTTCATTATTATATTATATATTTAAATTTAATTCAGAGACCTGTTGTGTTAAATTCAAATTTATGTTTATTAATTGAAACAAGTACATTAAAATTTTTACATGTGTTGCGTCTGTTTTTAGTTTTCGAATGAGTCACGCTGGTCACAGGACTGGGGAACAATTGTTCACATTCACAGTACTTTCTTGTTTTTATCATTTTTGTGTCAGACAACATACAAGACACAAATAACGCTAAAAGTATTATAATATTTTTTTAAAATGATACAGAAATTAGGAAAATTCACGAAATGCGAGCTGAAAAATAATTGAAACACGTAAAAATTTAAATAGTGGCATTGGTTAAACGTACTATGTATGTAAGTTGTAGTGGCTAAGTCTTAACATCTGGTATTCTATGAGAACATTTATTTTTTCAGTTCAAATTAATTGCCATATTTTGTTTTTTTTTTAAAAAAACAAAATTTGTATTGCTAATTAAGTAAATTATAATCCAAAAAGCAATGATATGTACAATGGTTTTTTAGTCTTCGTCTACTTATATCAATTAAATCAGTCCAGCACTGGTTCACTTTTAAAAATAATTCATTTAAATTCCAGCGTGCTAAGCTAACGAGCTAAAGGAGCTAGTTAAATTAAAATAAAAGTAGTAAATGAATGTGCTTTCGTGGTCATATTTTTTTAGAATAAATATAATTATAATATAAAATGCTCATTGATGTTTGTTTGCCAATACCTAAAGAGTTTGAAAGATCAGAAGTGATCGGAAAACTTGGAGGTTGGTTGGGTTGGATGGGACTGGAGAGGGCTATATAATTTTTGTTTTGAGCCTTGTTCTATGTTTAAAATGAAGGTTGTGTTGTATTATTACAAATCAGAAGTTACAAGCATAAAACATAAAATTTACTTGCGAAAAGCGGGCAAACTTGTATTAACTAACATTCAGAAGCTATTTTAGAAAAATAAAATGAAATGTAAATTAAATTAATTTTATTTATGAAATGAAAAATAATTTTAAGTTAGAAATGATATTTAGTATAAATTTTGGGTTAGTTAGTGTCAGGATTAGGTAAATTAAACGGTTTAACGAATGTTTGTTGACTTCAGACAAGTTAAAATTAAACACAAACATATAGTTAGTAGTAAACTAAACTAGTGAAAACATTAATACTAAACAATTAATTTTAAATTAAACACTTTACATTCCATTCTAGGCAAAAGTTTTTTTATTATTTTTCTTTAAAAGATCAGAATCTTACAGACAGATGCAGAAACTGTTACAACATGTAAGGCAATAAAGAATAAATAGTATAAATTTTATAAAATGATTAAAAATATAATATAAATAAATAACGAAGTAAGAATGTTTAAGCATGAGATGCATGGAAAATGAAATAATAATTTAATAAAACAAATAAATATAATAATTATGTAACTAGTTAATGATTCAATTTAATAAGTAAGTTACTTATAAAAATAAATTAGTTCATTTTTATGCCTACACATGCAATTAATTTTTTAAGATGAACATGGAGTGAGAGTATAAATAATGGGAAAAATAAACTTAAATTAATAAAAAAAAGTATGTGCTTTCAAAATTTTCTATGTTTAATAAAGATTAAAGATTGTATTTTATTATTATAAACACGTATAAAAATAAATGAGTTCATTTTTATGCCTACACATGCAATTAATTTTTTAAGATGAACATGGAGTGAGAGTATAAATAATGGGAAAAATAAACTTAAATTAATAAAAAAAATATGTGCTTTCAAAATTTTCTACGTTTAATAAAGATTAAAGATTGTATTTTATTATTATAAACACTCAAAACTAAAACTACAAGCAGTAGTATTTAGCATAGTGAAGAGTAAAGAAACACATTACATTCTAATCTTATTAGCTTATTTTATTTTCATCGCACGCAACTAGAATTAACGACAGTTCATTACGAACCCGTCGGAAGATGGTACGAGGCCTACTGCACGAGAAGACAGCACAAACACACCCTGTCAACCAGTTCGCAGTCGAGCAGCTCCGAAGAAGAGGAGGATGATTTGGATGAGTTTGAAGATGATGACAACATCCTTCTAACCCTTGATCCAAGGGAGTGGAAGGTTTGTTTGGTCTTTAATCATCTGTGGTTTTTTAACCTGACTTCTATCCATTACATCATCATGGCCTTGGAATCATTGTAAGATATCCTACTGTTAGTGTAATTAAAAATTAAGTTAATTATGTAATGCAAACTTTTTGCTCTAAGGGCGCATTGAGAACTATTTTACCATTGAAGGGCCACATATTAACAAATTTTTTGACCCGGGGGAGATTTTTTAAGATTTGTGACCCCTTTTTTTGGTCATAATGCCTGGCTGATGACCTTTTTAGGCAAACAAGGCCTCACAGGTTGCATAAAATAGCTTCGCGGGCCATAGTTTACCCACCCCTGATGTAATGGAGTGGTTGAGGAAACAAACTGAAGCTTCATATATGTAATTTTTGCACCCATTTAATTCAAGGTTATTAGAAAATTCAATAATTCATTAACTGTGGTTTATTTTATCTGATATGATAATTTTATTATTGTAAAATTTACTGGAAATTCATTAATCCACTTAAATAGAAAAATCAGATAATATAATAATTCTTGACCATAGAAACAGGATCACTATGCTGTGTTGGGTCTTGGCAAGCTGAGGTACAAGGCAACAGATGATCAAATAAAGAGAGCTTGTTTGTCATTCTTCATTTTTATTATGTTTAATTTCATATTTTGTTCCCATCGCAGCATTTTGATAAAATGAATTTTTATTCAATTTTCAATCCTTTTTCAGTATTAAAAGATATAAATTTTTTTCTTTTAAACTGGGCTCAAAAATTTTAAGAAGAATTAAATTTTCAATGTTTATAATGTGTTAGTTGAGAAGATTAATAATGATAAAGAGGGTACTTTATTTATTATGAACTAATGGTGAATGTCACTACTTCACACTGCTACACCGTGCCACGCCACTACATTGCATCACACTTTGCTACAACACTGCGCCATTATTCCCTACGACATACAACAACACGTCGCACGCAGACAAGAAGAAAGTCCTGCAACACCATCCAGACAAAAGAAGGGCTGCTGGCATTCCTGTGAAGCAAGGAGAGGAAGATTATTTCACGTGTGTCACCAGGGGTAGGTTGGATTTTTGTCTGTTCGTGTTTGTGTTTGTTGTTGTTGTGGACATCCAGGTGGGGAGGGTTTTGCTGCAACTGTTTGTTGGAGCGTCTGATTTGACGGTCCAATCGGCTTCACCGCGAGAAGGCAGTTGCTCCAGAGCTTGTTTGTGTTTGTTCGTTGGCGGTTTTGTGTGGTTTATGTGGGTGCAATAGTGTTGCGTTATGTGTGATTGCTGTTGGTTTTGCCATGTTCCATTCAGAGTGAGATCTTACTCGGCGTATATCATTGTTCTGAAAATCATTTTTTGAGTTTTTATTTTTCGTTTTGCTTCTTCTATTCTTCAATTTCTTAATGGATATTCCTGCTTCGAGAATTGGCTTTTGTAGAAGACAACGGGGAAATTTTTTTTCATTTGTCTATTATTAACTAAATTTTCCCATCAATTCCCTTTCTCTGATGAATGAAGTAAATAGTAAATTATGTAATCAAATAGTAAATTATGTAATCATTCATGTGTTAATATTTTTATGCTTGTTGTTAAAAAGCCTACGAAGTACTGGGCGTTCCTTCAAAGAGAAGGTCATACGACAGCGTGGATCCGACCTTTGATGATCACATCCCTCCAAACAACAACGAATCCAAACAAAACTTCTTCAAAGTATTTGGACCCGTTTTTCAAAGAAATATAAGGTTTTAATAGAGTTATACCTTAGCCTATTCATTTTATTTTGAAACTCTTGAAAGTTTTTTAATGGCAATTTTCATAAAATTTGTTTTTTTAACATTCTGATCCTGCAAAAAGTTTCTTCTGAGTTATCCTTTCTAATAAAAGAATCCAAAATATCTATAATATTGACAAAAGATGCAATTACTGCAACCAATTTTTTTACAATTTGTCAAAAATGTAATTCATGTTTATTCTTATATTATATTATATTATAATATATTATATTATATTACCCTGAAAACCAAAGTAAAATAGCCCAGCAAAGTTTTTGAATAAAATTTTCAGATGGTCGACAAAAACCAAAAAAGTCCTGACACTCGGTGATGAGGAGACGCCATTCGATCAGGTCGACGACTTCTACAACTTCTGGTTCGGTTTCAACCATTGAAATCATGTCATATTATATTTTATATATACGTTTATTTATTTCGACTGCACTTGAATTTGGATAATCTGGATTTCCTAAAACACCTTAGAAAAATCTGACTGGTTAATGATTATTCTTGAAATGCATGCTGTGCCTATTAAAACCCTCTTTTAATTGATGATTTTATCCTCTGGTCGCTAACATTTTCTCATATTTCACTGGATTCAACTGATTGTAGCCTTTTTTTTCTTGCCTATTTGTAATAATTTTCACCAAGATTTAATATTGCCTACTCAATTTTCTTTGTGATTTAACACCTCTTACTTAGTGATAAGGATAAAAAAATTTTCATTTGTAATAAAGTGCAGGGTGTGGCTTGGCTAGCTTCTTTTTGAGTTTTTATGATCTCATCATCATTTTTTCCCCCTAAACCCTGTTAATCACTGCTTGTTGTTTCACCATGACGTCTTCTACACCCATATTTCTGCCCCTTGTGGATGCTGACGGCCTGGATGGGATGCATTGCTCTGCCACGGATGCACATTTGTTTCACCACACTACCATCACTACTACTTCCATCATTTCGTCAACCAGTGCTTTACTCTTACTATTTCACTATTTGATTTGAATTCTTTCATTTTTTATCACTGATTAAATTCTCTCTCTCTCTCTCTCTCTCTCTCTCTCTCTCTCTCTCTCTCTCTCTCTCTCTCTCTCTCTCTCTCTCTCTCTCTCTCTCTCTCTCTCTCTCTCTCTATCTGCTTTGATGATGATGCAGGTGTTTCTCAGCTGAAACCTCGCAAATCTCACAGTGCCAATAATAATTTTTCACCCCTCCAAAGTCACCTACTCCTCCACTACTGACCTCCATAGGAGGGAGAGAGAAATTTCTGGTTAGCAGCGTCTATCGCAGAAGTAGATCATCATCCATTCTTAGAATTGTTTTCAACGTTACTGAACTACTCTATGGAGGAAAAAAACTGCTCCTCCACACGTGAATCTGTCAATCAATCTAATACAGACTGTTATTTATGTTATATTTTTGTGTTTCATATTTTTCATAATAGTGATATTATTATTATATTATTATTATTATTATTGTTGTTGTTGTTATTATTATTAATTGTGCCACGAACAACAACCACAACAACAACCACAGGTACAACTTTGAGTCGTGGAGGGAGTACTCCTACTTGGATGAGGAAGAGAAGGAGAAGGGAGAGAAGTGAGGGGGTGGGGTGGGCTGTGCATCTTCAATTCTCGTGGTCATGTTTTCTGCTGAATGAATGCTATAGAGGCCGACTGACAGACAGATTAATTGATCGATCAGTTGGATGAATGAATGGTTGATTGGTTGGTTGATCAGTTGAATGATTGATTGATGATTGATTGGTTAGTTGATTGATTGATTAGTTGAATGATTGATTGATTAGTTAAATGATTTATTGATTGGATGATTGATTGATTAGTTGAATAATTGATTGATTGGTTGATTGATTGATTGATTGATTGATTGATTAGTTGAATGATTGACTGATGGATTGATTGACCAGTCGAGAAGAGAGGCGATGGATTGAGAAGCAGAATAAAGCGGTCAGGTTAAAGTTGAAAAAGGAAGAGACCCAGAGGATTCGGCAGTTAGTCGGTGAGTCGCAAACACTTTACGTACTCGCGTGTTTCTCGCGTAACTTGATTTCAAACGATTCCCGGCTGTACGATGCACAAACATTTTTTTTACAAATTGTTGGCGTCATATAATATGACTTAAAAAATTTCCGCAAAAAATTGATGGCAAAGAAAACAACGTCCTACCTCGAGGAATTGGGTCTCTGGACTCTAAACGAAGATTGATTGATTGATTGATTGATTGATTGATTGATTGATTGATTGATTGATTGATTGATTGATTGATTGATTGATATATGATGAAAAATGTAGTCGTTATGAAGACGGTAGCCAATGTAGCCAATGTAAAAACGACCAACCAATTAATTAATTAATGAAAAATTGACGAATAAACAAATTGATGATTTTAATGTTTTAAAATTATCATCATCACTGTCAATCTTCATCGTCATTACTTATAACCCAACCCCACCCCTAACCTGCCGTACTCTCTCACTCACCACCAGACAATGCGTACGCCTGCGACCCCCGTGTCATCAAGTACAAGACTGAAGAAAGGGAGCGCAAGATGGCCGACAAGAAGGCCAAGCAGGATGCCATCAGGATGAAGTTGGAGGAGGAAGAAAGGGTGAGTGAGTGATGGATAAGTATTTGGTGATAGATGGATTGGTGGATGGAGGGAGGGATGAGTAATTGAATGGATTGATTGGTGGGTAGTTGAGTGAAGTATTGAATGAATGAATGAACAAATAAATTGAATGGAAGTTGGATGGATGTAAAAACGAGCAATTAATTAATTATGAAAAAATTGATGAATAAACCAATTGGTGGTTTTTAATGTTTTAAAATTATCATCATCACTGTCATCGTCATCATCATTACTCATAACTGTCTCCATCGTCTCATCCATCACGACAGAAACGCCAGGAAGTGTTGGAGGTTGAGAGGCTGGCCAGGGAGAAGGAGGAGGAAGAACTGAAGATGCAGGTTCGTGATGCTTTCTTCTCTGTAGCGCTGGTTTTGCATGCATCTAGGCGTGGCTTTTGAAATTTTATTTTTAAAATTTTTTCCCGAAATTCTTAGAGCTAGTTAATGGTTTTTTAAGGTATTTATCTTTATTGATAGATAACAGTGTATGTGCATAGTATTTCTATGCTATGCTACATTTATGTATGTATGCATATGTTTGTGTGTGTGCGTGCGTGTGTGTGTGTAGTAGTAGTAGTAGTAGTAGTAGTAGTAATAGTAATAGTAGTATCATTCTTATATGATAATGATAATTATGATCTGATAGTCAGTCACTTAACCAAGTGATATCATATCTATCTATTATGATGATGATGAATTGTAGATGGCAGTGCAGAAGAGGGAGAAGGAGGCGCTGAAAAAAAATTTGAAGAAAGAAAGAAAGCTGCTGAGAACATTTATCAAGGTGATTCATCAGGGATGGAGATGATAATGTGACAATAATAGCGATGTTGATAGTATTACGAAGGCGACTAATTGTTTGTAATTAATTAAAAATAATGATGAATAGAGATAATAATGATAATGAAGATGGCATCCATCTTCATTATCATTGAATGATTGACACAGGATTGGGAGTACCTGTCAAATGACGAAAAAGAGAGGGTGCGGAACATGCAGGATCTGGACAGGATCGCTGAACTCTCAACCGTAGAAACGTTCGTTGTATTTCTCATTTCGTTTTCATCTTTCCGCTTCCGCCCTACCTATTTTATGTAGTTTTTTAATATTTGCTAATACATACACTCTGGCGAACTTACATCGCAGAAACGTGCACACACACTTGCAAACATAATGTGTGAACATTTGTACACACGCACACACACACACACACACACACGAAATCTACTCTGCTGACCATCACACACGCAGTCTCACACATTTGAATGAAGTGGCATCCTCTGGTGGCAAAGAAAAATTTGCCGAAGAGTTCTTCAAGAAGGTTCATACAACTTTTGTTTTTCTTTTGTCTTTCCATCTTGAAAACGCAAAATTTTCAAGTGACAAAATCCTTTTTATTCGCGTTAATAACAAGGTCTGTGGGGCATTTGCATGAGTTTGTTGAGAATATTTTATCCATAAAACATTCCAAACATGCTTCAATCCTCTAAAATTATTTTTGTGCAATGCCACATTTGGCCATCCATCCTCACTCCGACCAGGTGAAGGAGTTGAACGAGAGGATAGATGAGGAGAAGCGCCAGCAAGCGATGGAGATGATGAACAGGAAGCAGCAGCAGGCATCGACTGCCGACAAGAGTGCGAATGCATCCAGCTGGTCTGACGTTGAGGTTCAAACTCTCATCAAGGCCGTCAATCTCTTCCCTGCTGGGACTAACGCAAGGTCAGATTTTTAATTTTAATTGGTGCTGGTGATACGGCTGCGTTGGTTGGTTGGACCGATTGTTGCCAACCTGAATGGGTCATTAATATTGGCTTGTGGCATGGACTGAATAGAAATCCAATCTCTTATGATCGTAATGGGCATTGGGTCGCCAGTAACTTTGTTATGGTCTGTTTTTTTAATGATGATCTTGATGAATTGTTGTTCTAACTCTTATTAATTTTTTTTTAATTTTAATCGGTGACACAGCATTTTTGTCGAGGTACTTTATCACCTGAGTGGCATCCATTTCAGGGCTTCATCTCCCTAGGGGTACAACTACCTTTTCAACATTTTTCGGGGCAACTTTCAACTCGCAGCCCTTATCTGTCCCGAAAAGTTCTTTAACATCTCCCTGAGCAACGTTTGAATACAGGTGGCTAGTTGGCATTTTATTTATAGGCCCTCCGTTGAGGTTGCTGTCGTCGTTGTTATTCATGATCCTAAGGAGTCAAATTCAGAATTATTGATGACTTTAGAATGCAGATGTGACGCACAGTGGCAATTGCAAGTATGCAACTGGTGGCGATGGAATCTATCAGTAGAGTAGACACTCCTAGTCTAGGCAGTTTGTGTTGTTAGCAAAACTGCAGAGCAGACACTCTTCGTCTAGGCAGAGACGAGACACCAGTATAGACTTAGTAGCGGGTTGAATTTTGATTACTTTTCAACTTCTTCAATGGTAGAAATAAACTGAAGAATTCATTGTAAACCTCTGATTGAATGCCTCTAAGCATTATGATGAAGTTGCGTTGTCTTGTGAAGTAGCCTTTTTTTTAATCTAAATCATTAAACAATAATCTCAGTTCTGGTTTTGAATTTCTTGACTCTTTATGATTATTATGCTGTATTGACTCTTTATTATGCTGAAACTTGTTCAGTTGGATTCAAATCATGTGTCAAATAAGCAGCTCCGCCATTAACTGAAGCTTGCATTTTGATATAGGTATAGAAATAGATATATATCTATATTGGAATATTCAAAAATTCGAGAAATACCATATTCTCTTTCTTTCTTCGCCGAAATGCTGGACAAGAGATGATTGATGTTCTTAAGGTGCTTGGCTGGCTGCTTGAATGTTGGTGTGTGCGTGTGTGTGCGTGCGTGATTGGTTGCCTAGTGGTCGGTGTTCACAGCATTTTTGTATAACATGATATACTAATAATGAACTTGAAGACAGTATCTGATCGTTGAAATCATACATTAATATGCATTGAATAAATTTGAATAACAACATCCATTGTCGAACGGACAGGTGGGAGACCATAGCTAATTTTTTGAAGCTGCATGTTCCAGGAAGCAACAGAAATGCCAAGGAGACCTTGGCCAGAGCTAAGGAACTTCAAAAGAATGGTGTGTTGGTCTGGTGGTTTTTGAGGTGGTTGGTTGGCTGTTTGATGGTTGGTGTGTGTGGTTGATTACTTGATGATTTGTGTACACAGTTGGCTGTGTTGTTAGTTTTTCATTTGCTTGTTTGTTTGTTTGTTCGTTGGTTTGCTTGCTTGCTCTCTGCTTGTTCGCTCGTTTGTTTTTTAGTTTTTTGGCTTGTTCATTTCACATGTCTAAACTCTTGATGATGTGGATCAAAAAAGATTATTTTTGTATAAAAATGAAACCAAAACAAAAATTGGCAAAGTTAATTAAAATCACAATTTAATTTTCTGGCCAAGCAATCAATTCTGTTGTCCTTCAATCGTCCAGTCGTTCATTTTAATCAACGCCAACAGATTCCAACTTAAAAGATGAAGCCAACAAGAAAGCTTACGAGAATTTCAAGAGGGACACGCATGGAGCTGCGTCCGTTGTCGTGTCTCAAGTCTCAGAGAGATATGAATGTACGTCGACGATGCTAATATAAGTTTATTATTTTTATTATTTATTATTATTTATTATTATTATTATTATTATTATTACTGGTGTAACTGTAAACGCCATGTATAAAGGAAAAGGTTGTTGTTAATGTGGATTTAAGTTGTTGCTGATTGGGTGCCGAGTTTGTATAAAATGCTAATGTTTTGAGGAGATGTAATGTTAATATTTTCATGTACTGAGTTGATGTATTAGTTAATAAATAGATAAATTATTAGAAAAAATTATAAATCGTTGAATAAATTATGTTATGTTATTAGCGCCGGCAGAGATGCAAGTGTACGAGGTGGGCAGTAATCCCGCCCCTTGGACAGCTGACGAGCAGAAGTTGTTGGAGCAGGCCATGAGAACGTATCCGGCTTCTGAAGCTGACAGGTTTCTACTCGTTTCTACTCTAACAACAATCTATCATATGCAATGTGTGGCGTGTGTGGTTATGTGCTATGTGTGTTTGTCGTTGATGGATCTGAAGCAAGAGGTTTAGAGGGAATTAATTACCTTTTGATGTAAATGTTTAAATGTAATTAGAATTATTTTTGTAATCCAATATTTCTTACTTTAACGATCCTCAGATGGGATAAGATTGCAGAGTGCATCCCAGCCAGGAGCAAGAAGGATTGTATGAAACGATACAAAGTACTTCGTTAAAGCTAATTTTTTTTATTATTATAATTTATAAGGCGCCAATTTTTCATTTTGTTTTTGAAGCACCACTGAAAATAAACGCGTGTTGATATGATGTGTTTTGCTAGAATTTTTTAAGTTTTACGCTAACTTGTGCTGTAGTTGTATACATCGTATTTTAATAATCTTATCTAAACTTTGATAACCAAGGAACTGGTTGAACTCATCAGAACCAAGAAACTCGCTCAAGCAACTACCGCTAGCACAAAGAAGAAATAATTTTTTGTTTTTTATTTTTCATTCGTTTTTTGGTTTTACTTTTTTTTATGTTTTACTTGTCAAATACATTTATTCTTATAAACCTAAATTATTTATAGTCTTTTTGATAAAAAAAAAACCTCATTACAGACAAATTTCTTCTAAAATTCTGAGCTAACGTAGAATAATGGCTAACCACGCGCGATGTCGCTCAAAAAATTTCCATGCATCTAACTCCGCTGTTCATGAAGGTATTGTTGTGTAATGAAAATGATCTATATTATCAGATAGGAATGGTGCATTATTGCGTGTATTGCACACGTGTAGGCCACATTGGACAAGCGAAATCTTTGCTGATCCAATTGCAGAATCAGACGTCAGTCAGCTAAGCATACCGAATACTGTATTTAAAATTTATTTGCCTGGACTTTTTAAGTTAAAAACACCTCAGAATATATTACTCCATCATTATTCCTTGACAAAAAAGACCATTTATTTGCCAGAGCCTATATTATTATATTTATCTAATTAATTAATTTAATAAAGTCAGTTACCAATACATCAAATAGTCTATAACAAATATGTCTATCTTGAAAATTTTGTTTGCTAGGTGCGTGAGAAGTTGGTCAAGATTAGCGAGAGGACATGATGGAAAACATTATTAGAAAACTTTTGTATAGCGTTGCAATATTTGTGTGTGTGTAATCGTAATGGTTGAGAACCATTGCGTGCAGTTATTGGCCATCAGAATCAGATTTTGTATTAATGTGCGAGAGTTTAATCACGGAGTTGGCCTCTAGGTTCTGTAATAAAATATGTAACTTTGATTCAACGAATCCACACCGTTCTAAATGATTGACTGAACTCGTTCAACTGGCTCTAACAACAATGAAGTAATTGTATTTGTGGAAGAAATCATATGATTTGAGCAGATACCTCCAGTCGCCATCATTTGTTTATAATATCGGCTGAAATTTTGAACTTTCTTTTAAATTCACCCATCAGGATGGCTTTAGTTAAAAACTAACCTAGTGTGGGGAGTTCTGGTTTGGAAAGCATGGAGCAATGATCGACATCAAGTGACTGCGATCAGACGGATTTTTCTTGGATCCAAAAAAATGAAAGGTCTTGTTCTTTCGCATTCTGTCAAGGTTTAAAGCAAATTGGTTGTGGTCATGTTATATATACGTATATATATATATATATATATATATATGTATATGTATGAATGTATATATATATATATACATATTCACAAAAATAATGAATCTCAATCGCAATTTTCTCAAATTAATGTTCAGGTGTTCTTTGGTTGTTCCATGTTGATTTTGTATTATCGACTTGTTAACTGTGAAGAGAGAAGATGGCTCCTTCGTGTTCGGACGCGGTCAACTTCGTATACGATTTTTACAAAAATCCATTTAAATGGTAATATATTTTGCGCCGTTTTACTTGGTTTTATGTTGTATTAAATTTTAAAAAACTTTTATAGCGTATTTTTGTTATTATAAATTATATAATGTGAATTGAATTGAAATGGCATGAACATGTTTGTTACACAGTTTTACTTTACTTTGCTTCTTATGGTGAATGAATGATGAGATGATAGTTAATGTCAATGATTGCTAAATTTTATAAAGTATTTTTATCTTATTATAAATAAATTATAATGATCTGAGAAAAAACAATTTTTGATAAGATTGATTGTGTGTTTTACATATAGTATATTTTATATTAATAATTAATTAATAAAATAAATGAACCTATATGTGTTATTATTATATTAACAGTTTCGAATATTTTGTGGCTTTGGTTAAATTTTTCTTCACACTATACTATTTTAAACTTAAATGTATTTCTGTCTGAATTGCTTTGTATTGTAATTTTTAATAAAAAAATATTAATTAATTATTAATAATTATTATCATTCAATTTGATTTGCTTTAGTTTAGATAAATGGTTTCAGGTTTTTGTTCCATGCCGGTTTTTTTTTCAAATTTGTCATTTAAAATTTTTTAAATTATTAATATTTATAAAATTTGTAACTAAAGGCAGTGTGTGAAGAGTGTGAGCTTATTTGTTATTGGGGTGCTCGTGGCTAATGGAGTTTTCAACGAGGAAGCCCCCATAAAATCCACTTGATCAAGTCAAACAGTTGGTTTATCTAAGAATTTTTTTATAACTTTCATCTTTTTTGTTTTATAAAAAAAATTGTGTTTAGTTTTTTTTTATGTTTTGCTGAAATAAATATTTTTCTTTAATTAAAATTTTTTCTGAATTTATTTATGATTCAGGAAGAAGAAGAAAATGATTTTTGAGTCTGGCAAAAGATAGATTATTATGTTAATTCTCTGTGCTATTTCTACCAAACAATGATTCCAATCAGTTTAAAGTTTAATTCACAATAAGATCTATGAATTATGAATTAGTTCTTCTTGTTGTTAATCAAATAAAAATTGAAAAATGCTTTGAAATTTAAACGTACATTAAAAAATTTTTTAACTAACTAAGTTTTGAGCGAGGTACATTAGTTTGTGTTTAAGATACGTCGTTCATTGTCTGACGAAATTATTTTTTATTCAAATTCAATTTTTTTTATTCTAAGTGAAGGGCTTGCGTGATAATATCAAATAAAGTAGAGTGATCCTAGCTGGGATCATCATTCATTAATTATGATTTTTTGAGTATGGTGTGTCAACTAAGACTCTTGGTATTTTCTTGCTCTATCATATTCTTCTATAACAAACATTGTCGAGATTGAAAGCATTCAACTATTCCATTATAATAATTGGCGCATGGAACCTCAGAAAAAAGTGTTCGTCTGTTTTGGGTGCTTGAAAAGAACTTTGAACAAAAATGAACATGTATGAATTTGTGTGTGTATGCGTACATTCTACATATGTACATTCTACATATGTACATGTTCAGTCTCATTACTTTACCTAAAGCAAGAGCCATTTTGAAGTTACATATTTCTCGTGTTTCATACTTGAAGAAACCTCATGTGAAATAATGATGAATGATGCAAATGCTTCCCTATCAACATCAGGTTCGAGTACAAGAATTCTACAAAATTTGAAAACATGTCCAAAACACAGTTTAATAATGCATGAAATTAATCATATGCGGATTTTTTTTAAGCACTCCCCATACTTTTGAGAGAGTGCTATTGAAATTCGTCGTGTGAAATGTCGGCATGGAATTTTTAACTGGAATTGCCCAATCTTACCTCTCCCATTATACGCTCCACTGGAGGTAGAACAGGCGATGACTTGACACATCTAATTAAAATGGAGTCTGCCGGCAAGTGATTGTTCAGGGATGGCGTAACAATGCAGTATGATGACGTTTACTTCTTGTATGTAATTCTCGACGCAGGTTGTTATGATTGGCGATAGGCAGTTCAATTCCGGTGCACCGAACTCTTGAGATAAAAATGAAATTGAACCGAAGCAGTTTAAGACTAATTAGTAATTAATTAGGAAAAGATTTATTTTCAATAGAGAGTGTTGTAAGGATAATATTCTTCGAAAACGAAGAAATAAAATCTATTTAGAAAAGACTTGAAATTTGAATAATGAAGCTAAGAATTATCTTAATATTTTATTTAATTGAAAGAAGTCCAAAGTTCATTCACCGTAGTGTAACACGTTTTTGATAAAATCTCGTGTAAGATACTCAAAAATTTTAAATATATCACCATTTTTATCTTTATTACATTAAACTCACAAATTCATACGAATCTATCAATTTTAAACTTCCAAAATAGTTTTGTGGTATGGCGATTTTCTTTCGTTCTAGCCGAAAAAAGAAAAATAAACCTTCTGGACAATAATAATGTATTGTCAACATCTTAGCTTTTTGAAATGTTAAGTGAGAACAATTTTCAAAACAGGTCTCCTATTGTCTCACCTGTGGCTACACCTGTATTATCTTCGCCTATTATCTATTTTGGTTTATGGGTCGGCTGTTAACGTTTACATGTGTGTGCGTGTGTGAGTGTGTGCGTGAAAATAGCAAGAAGAGCTGATATCCCGATTGTAAACATTGTCAAATGAGTGGCAAACCGATAAAAGATGTACTCGGCTCGATGGCAAACAGCTTATGATCTGTCGTTAAATATTTGTACAATGTATAACTAGAATTAGCTCATTTTCAAATTGTTTACTAAGAAAATTAAAGTTAGTCTTGTAATGAATACTGTATAGAAAACTTTGCTCTACGGTTCACAATTTATATAATATATATCTGTATGTGTGCGTGTGTGTGTGTGTGTGTGTGCGCACAAATGAATGAAATATTGGCACAGCTTAATAATACATTATCAAACTCTTTAGACAGTTTATATAAAATTATACGTTTGAAAGAGACCATATTTTATACAGTATTGTATGAATTCTACTTAATAAATCGATCCGTTAATCCATTACTATTTATTCTTATTTCTTATTAGATTTGTCAACTTTTTATGAAATTTAAGCCTTGAGGTGTATTTATAAGTATTGGGGTCCTTTGTTTTGAGCTTTGTTGAATTCATCTATTATGGTAACAGCTATTTCGCATCTGCTCCATTCATTTAATAGATTATTCAGCGTAGCTGATATATGTTGAATTTTATTTTGTTTTGCCTCTAACTCCCGGCAAATATGAAGCAATAACTGCTCACGATCTTGCTTGGTTGTCAGGTTTTGTAGAATTCATACAATACTGCAGGGCTGAGCAAACTAAGGTTCGTGGTGGGCTGCATGCGGCCATCCCGCCCACGGAGCTATTTTATGCAGGCCCTTCAAAAATAAAATAGCTTTCAATGCGGCCCTCACAGAAAAAAGTCTGTAATACTGTATAAAATTATATTTATATAATATACATATTTATAATAATTATTCATCTATTTATGAATTATGTTATATCGTGTGCCTATATGGTATATATCTCTATATAGCTATAATTGTTATATTGGTTATATCTATCATTAACAACATCCATATGTTTTTATATATTTTTTGGCCAGGCATTATTTAGTTTTCATCTATTTATCCAAAGGATAGATTTCTGGTTATTCAATAAATAATGTAAAGAAGAATCAAAATAGTTCAATTAAAAGCTTTAACTAAAGAGTTTATCAAATGCGTGTTGACAACGACCTGAAATAAAATGAGATAGAAATGCATAAAAGATAGTGAAAGTATTGCTGTAGAAATGATCAGTATGCTATATTGTTTGTAGTAGATATATAATGTTATATATAATGTTATATATATATATATATATATATATATATATATATATATATATATATATTGGGTTTAGACTATCATAAATACAATTATTTATAAAGATAAATAATTATATATATATATATATATAATTGTTTATATATATATATATATATATAGACCATAATTTTTACATTATTCTATAAATTCTACCGAATGTTTGGCGTTAATATGTTTGTAGTTCGTTTTTTCGATTTTTTTCACTAAAGTTTTTTGGTGAACGTTTTAGTTTACTAAAATTCAAAATAAACTTTTTTTTTATTGCAGCATG